GGTGCCCACTCACTTCTTTACCTATGCATAGTAGTGAGACTTTTAACCCTTTATAGGTAGAGCAATTAGAGAACAGCTACTAAGAGGGATTTTATAGCTACTGGCTGGCTGGATGTCCATAAAAGGGAGTCGTTCGCCCCCCCCCCGCCCTTCATTTATCACAACAACATAAGAGTGGTCAGGAATGGACTTCGTGGAGACTCAAGCACTGACACACAATCCTCAGGGGTGGAGACAATTGGTTGATTGCTCATCAATGAGGGTGCCCCAACGACCAATGCAATTATGGGAGTGATGATGATGAATATCTGGGTGGAGGTGCTGATGGCAATAGAAGTTTTACTTCATGAAAGACTAAAATATTTGACCCTCCAACTTTCTTTCAAGAGGAAGAGCTGCCCAGAGCTCATGTGCCTGTTTATTTTCCTTTCCTGCCTATAGTAGCCCTGAGATACCTCAGAAGACTCAATTTTTTTCTCAACTTTAAAATGTGGAATTTTCTTGGTGTTTGATTTTAAATAGGGCTGTCAATTAAATCTCACTTTACTCATGCGATCAACTCAAACAAATTAATTGTGATGAATCACAGTTTTAATCACACTGTTAAACAATCATAGAATACCAATTGAAATTTATTAAATATTTTGGATGTTTTTCTATATTTTCAAATATATTGATTTCAATTACAACACAGAATACAAAGTGTACAGTGCTCACTTAATATTATTATTTTTATTACAAATATTTGCACTGTAAAAATGATAAACAAAAGAAATAGTATTTTTCAATTCACCTCATACAAGTACTGTAGTGCTGTGTGTGACATCCACTGACCACCCTACCAAAACAATCCAGTATGTGACACCCACTCAGCACCTTACCCTAACAATCCAGTGTGTGGCACTCCCTGAGGAGCTTATCAAAACAATATAGTGTGTGACACCCTGTGAGCAAAACAATCCAGCTTGTGACACTCACCGAGAACTCTACCAAAACATCCAGTGTGTGCCACCCACTCAGCACCCTACAATAAGAATTCAGTGTGAGACACCCACTGAGCACCCTACCGCAAATTCCAGTGTGTGACGCCCACTGAGCACCCTACCAAGACAATCCAGTGTGTGATCGCCCACTGAGCACCCTACCAAGACAATCCAGTGTGTGACGCCCACTGAGCACCCTACCAAAACAATCCAGGGTGTGACACCCACTGAGCACCCTACCACAAATTCCAGTGTGTGACACCCACTGAGCACCCTACCAAAACAATCCAGTGTATGACATCTCCTGAGTATGCTACCAAAACAATCCAGTGTGTGAGACTAACTGAGCTCCCTACTAAAACAATCCTGGCTGTGACAGCCACTGAGCACCTGTGACATTGTGAGTGTGATATAATATCTCATTGAAAGGTGATAGGGCCAGAAAGAGTTAATTAACTCACAGACTGACCTGACCCATCGTGGAACTTTAGAGACTGGTTAGGAAAATATGTAAATGCATAGAGCTTTAACATGCAAGCCTGCAATGTTAGAGACTGAAGGGTAGATGTTTGCTCAGGTCTTGTGATGTAAGCAAACAAGTCTTGTCTATTGCTATAGCTTTGAGTCAAAGATCAAAAAGGAGTATTAACATTTAGGAAGACACTTGAGTGAAATAGTATTATTGTCTATATGTCTCTTTGAAGGTTGTGGTAACCTGTATCTGAACTGTTTAATGGATAAATTATCCTGTGCTAATTCCCATGATGTTTAGGAGAAGGAAAGTTAAGCCTATTGTTTTCTCAGGCCAAAAGGCTGCAGGAAATGTATAAAAACTCTGGGACATGATCCTTCTTCATCTCAGATCTGCTTTGGGTTTCAAGAGGGGGAAACCTTAAGCCATAAGGATTGAGATCCCCAGTCACTGACTGGAGTCACCCTGAATATGGACATTGGACTATAACCTACGAACTATATCTAAAAGGACTTTTGGCAACTACAAGCTCACCTTTGCTATGTATCTGAACCTCAAGAATTTAATTCAAGTCTGTATGTATATTGATCTTTTAACCAATACTCTCTCTCTTTTCTTTTTTAATAAATTTTAGCTTAGTTAATAAGAATTGGCTATAAGAGTGTATTTTGGGTAAGATCTAAGTTATAATTGGACCTGGGTGTGTGGCTGATCCTTTGGGATTGGAAGAACCTTTTATTTTATATGATGAGATAAGATTTTCAGTAATCATCATCATATCTGGCATGTGTGTCTGGATGGAGGCTTGAGGCTGGGCATTTTAAGGGAACTGCGTTGTTTGGACTTCTGAGTAACCAGTGAGGTAGTAATACAGGAGCTGTTTAGTGCTGGCTTGGTAAATCTAAGTATTGGAATATCCACCAGCTTTTGGGGTTTGTCTGCCCCGTTTTGTTTGCAGTTCTCCTAGAGTTACCATATTTCAACACTGAAAAAAGAGGACACTCCACAGGGGCCCTGGCCCTGCCCCAACTCCACCCCTTCCCCACCCTTGGCCCCGTCCCTTCACCGCCCCCATTCCAACCCCTTTCCCAAAGTCCCTGCCCCAACTCTTCCCCCTCCTCTGAGCACCCCACATTCCCCCTCCTTCCTCCTGCTCTGATCTTGGTTGGGCGTTGCTAAGTGCTTCCCTGCTCCCCACTCGCCCTGCAGCCTCTGCACCCTCCCTTACCCTGCAGCCTCTGTGACCCTGCTCCCCACTCACCCTGCAGCCCCTGCACCCCCCACCCCTGCACCCCCTGTGACCCCTGCTCCTCACTCGCCCTGCAGCCCCTGCACTGCCCCTGCAGCCTCTGCGCCCCCCGCTGCCTGCCAATGTAACAATAAATAACTCACATTGTCAACAGTTCTGTTTGTCTTTAGTTAAAAATAGTTACTAAAAT